TTCCACCACCTACAATCAGACCCCATCACAAAAAGATATTTCTTTGCCCACTCCCTGTGCACTTTCCTCAGGGACTGTTCACTTCGCGACTCCCTCTTCAGCTCCACTCTCCCCACCAATCCCTCCACCACACCCGGTACCTTTTCCTGCAACCGCAGGAGGTGCTACACCTGCCCCTACAGCTTCCCTCTCGCCTCTGTCCGAGGCCCCAAACAATCCTTCCAAATCTGGCAGAGATTCACCTGCACTTCATCCAACCTCAATTACTGTATCCGTTGCTCCTGATGCAGTCTCCTCTATATCGGGGAGACCAAACGCAGACATGGCGACCAGTTTATAGAGCATCTGTGCTCTGCACGCACCAACCAACCCGATTTTCCGGTTGCCATCTCCTTTAACTCCCCCTCCCAATCCCCTGGTGACATGTCCATTCTTGGTCTCCTCCACTGTCAGAGTGAGGCCAAACGTAAACTGGAGGAACAACACATATTGCATCTTGAGAGCTTACAGCCCAATGGCCTGAATATTGAGTTCACCAACTTCAAAAATCTCTCCTCTCCCAATCTGTCCATCTTCTGACTCACCCTATTCGCTCCACCTTTCCCAATGACCAACCCCCTACCTGCATCACCAGATTCAAAATCTCTCCGCCCTGAACCTGTCCATCTTCCTACTCACTTATCCACTCCCACTGACCAACTACAACAACATCCTACCTGTGTCCAGCTATCTCCATCTCACCTACCCTCCCCCATTCCTACCCCCTCCCTCTATTTATTTCTGGGCTTCCCTCCACCTCCCCAGTTCTGATGAAGGGTTTCAGCCTATCCATTGACTTTCCTGCTGCTCAGATGCTGCCTCACCTGCTGTGCTTTTCCAGTTCATATTTACTGACTTGAGCTTCCAGCATCTGCAGTCCTTACTGTCTCCAAATCGCTGAAAACCATACTGCGAAGTCTCTGCTAAGGATGCCCACCTTGAAGAAGTTTTCCACCTCCCTCCAAAGAGACCTCAGTATCTCTCCCAGTGCAACCTCCTGGCTGTCTCCTCTGCCTTGAAGCTCTTTGACCACATTCTGAAGCAATTCTGCTACTACTGTCATCTCTCCTTCTCCAGTGCCTATCTACGCAACTGGCATATCCCCCATAGACTCCAAATAATGTTTAGACCATCACAATTAGGACCCGACAGTGACAACTGTTATCTGCAGCATCTCCTGGGCCTTCAGAAACAGTTCTCCCTGCGGATTCTCAGCTCCACGCTCACAGCCATGTATTGACACCTTCTCTCCCTGTAGTTGGCCCTGCTCCAGCTCAGAACTTCTCTTTCCTAGATCTGCAGGGGTTCTCTACTCTCCTTTGTTCTCAGGAGGATCCACACCCTCAACAAAGACATCAAAAACTGTAAGTATGCCAAACTCTCTCGTACTTACCTCCAGACACAGACATCTTCAAACATTTGGGATCCTAACCTCATCTCCGTCCTTTCTCCGGGATCTGCCTGACGCCATTAACCATGCAGTTGCTCCAACCACCCCAACGGATCATATGATGGCCACTTCCACCGACAATGCCAATCACGTGACGACTGTTGACGCTGCCAATCACGTGACGACCGCCGATCAAGTTGTCACTTCCACTCCGTCCATGTGACCGCTCTTGTGCACACACCCACTCCAGTTGCAGTCTCCACTCCCACTCCCAGCTCCAGCTCAACACTCAGCCCCAGCCCCAAGCCCCATTGGGTATTCACCATCCCCCCCCAGACCTCCCCCTCATTGAGTCTGAATAGTCAGTCTTCAGCAAAGGACTCACCTTCGTTCCCCTGCGTCCACAGGTGAATGAATTCCATGCGAGCCTCGATGTTGAGCTCTTTTTCCACTGCCTCTGCGCCTATTTCTTTGAACGTGAATCCAACCCACCCTCTGATAACCTCTTCTCCTGCCTCCAGCAAACTCCACCTTCCTGGACAACCTTCCTGGCCTCCTACCCTCCCTTGACCTCTTCATCTCCAACTGCTGCTGTGACATCAATCACCCGAAACTCTCACCTCTCTCATTTACTCCAACTTCTCCCCATTGGAACACGCAGCTCTCCGCTCCTTTTGCTCCAACCCCAACCCCACCATTAAACCCGCCGACAAGGGCAGCACAGTGGTAGCATGGTGAATTGACCTCTACATCACTTAGCCAGATACCAACTATCTGACACATCCTCCTACCATTTGCTCGATCATGACCCCACCTCTGATCATCAAGCCATCATCACCCAGACCATTAACAACCTCATCACCTTGGGACAGCTCCCGTCCACAACCTCCAACCTGATAGTTCCCCAACCCTGCTCCACCCATTTCTATCTCCTACCCAAAATCCATAAACCCAACTGCCCCGGTCGACCCATTGTCTCTGACTGTCCTGCCCCACAGAGCTCATCTCCTCCTACTTCGACGCCGTTCTTTCCCTTTTGGTCCAGGAACTCCCACCTACGTTCGGGATATAACCCACGCCCTCCACCTTTTCCAAAACTTTCAATTACTCGGCCATCAACACATCATCTTCACCATGGATATTCAGTCCCTGTACACCTGTATCCCCCACAAGGGTGGTCTAAAGGCCCTCTGCTTCTTCCTCTCCCATAGGTCCACCCAGTCCCCCTCCACTGACACTCTCATTTGCTTGGCTGAACTAGTCCTCATCCCCAAAAATTTTCACTTTGATTCCTCCCACTTCCTACAAACCCGCATGGGCCCGAGCTATGCCTGCCTCTTTGTAGGATTTCTTCAACAAGTACACTGGCACCATCCGTCACGTCTTTCTCCGCTATACTGATGACTATATTGGTGCTGCCTCATGTGCCCGCAAGGAGCTCAAACAGTTTATCAACTTCGTCAACACCTTCCACCACACCCACAAATTCACCTGGACCATTTCTGACACCTCCTTACCCTCCCTGAATCTCTCCATTTTCATCTCTGGTAACTGACTCACCAGTGACATCTATTTCAAATCCACTGACTCCCACAATTATTTTGACTACACCTCCTCTGACCCACCCTTCTGCAAAAATTCTATTCCGTACTCAGAAATCCTCCACCTCTGCCACATCTGCTCCCGGGATAAGGCATTCTACTCTAGAACTTCCCAGATATCCTCCTACTTTAGAGACCGTAGTTTTCCCTCCTCTGTTATTAAGGATGCTCTCAACTGCATCTCTTCCATTTCCCACAATTCTGCCCTCAAACCCTCTCCCCCCCACAACAATGAGGATAGCGTCGCCTTGGTCCTGACATACCATCCTACCAACCTCCAAATACACGCATCATCCTCCAACATTTCCACCACCTACAATCAGACCCCACCACCAAAAAGATATTTCCCTCCCCACCTCTGTCCACTTTCTGCAGGGACCATTGACTCCACGACTCCCTCATCAGCTCCACACTCCACACCAACCGTTCCATCACACCCGGTACCTTTCCCTGCAATCACAGGAGGTGCTACACCTGCCCTACACCTCCATTTGAGGCCCCAAACAATCCTTCCAAATCTGGCAGAGATTCACCTGCACTTCATCTACTGCATCCGTTGCTCCTGATGTGGTCTCCTCTATAAAAGGGAGACCAAACGCATACTCAGGGACCAGTTTGCAGAGCATCTGTACTTTGCATGCATCAACCAACCCGACCTTCCAGTTGCCGCCTAGTTTAACTTGCCCTCCCACTCCCTGGTGACATGTCCATTCTTGGCCTTGTCCACTGTCAGAAATGAGGCCAAATGTAAACTGGAGGAACAACGTTTTCTGAAGAAGGGTCCTGACCTGAAACGTCAACTTTCCTGTTCCTCTGATGCTGCCTGGCCTGCTGTGTTGCTCCAGCTCCACTCTGTGTTATCTCTGACTCCAGCATCTGCAGTTCTTACTATCTCTGAACAACATTTCAAATTTCACCTTGACAGCTTACAGCCAATGGCCTGAATATTGATATCATCTGGTTTTAAAATCTCTCCTCTCCCAATCTATCCATCTTCTGATTCACCTATCCTCTCCACCCTTCCTACTGACCAACCACAATAACCACTAACTGCATCACCAGCTTCAATATCTCTCCACCCCGAACCTGACCGTCTTCCTACTCATCTACCCATTTCACATTTCCCACTGACCAACCACAATAACCCCCTTCATGTATCCACCCATCTCCATCTCACCTACCGTACCCCCATCCCCATCCCCACCCCCCGCCTCTATTTATTCCTGGGCTCCGCTGCCTCACTCCTGTCTTGACCAAGGGTTTCGGCCCAAAATGTTGACTTTCCTGCTCCTTGGATGCTGTATGTTCCCAATGGTGGGTGTGTCCAGAACCAGGGGCCATAGTCTGAGGATTTGGGGTAGACCATTGAGGACGCAGATGAGGAGACATTTCTTTATCCAGAGTGTTGAGCCTGTGGAATTCATTGGCACAGGAAGTAGTTGATGCCAAAACATCGAATATATTCAAGAGGCGGCAAGTTTAGCACTTGGGGCGAATGGGATCAAAGATTATGGTGAGAAAGCAGCATTAGGCTATTGAATTGGACAATCAGCCATGATCGTGGTGAACAGAGGAGCAGGCTCGAAGGGCTCCTCCTGCTCCTATTTTCTACTTTTCTGACCTGCTGTGCTTCTCCAGGTCCACATTTATTGACTCTAGCTTCCAAACATCCGCAGTCCTTACTCTCTCGACGTCACCCACACGCCATCTCCGCACAAACCCCGCCCTTCGGCCCACAAACCCCGCCCACCGTGTTCGCCCATTCCCCCCTCCAACGGCTGCCACATAAACCATGCGCAGCATCCATACTTGGCTAGACCCACACAGGCACCGCCCATCTGGGGGTCCAGAGGGGGTCCGTGCGCAGGCCGCTCCTGCCTCCCCATTCCCCAAACATGCGCAACAGGCCCCGCCCACCGCACCAAGGCCCGCCTCTCCCCATACAAACCCCTCCCAGTTCTTCACGATCCCTGCTCCGCCCCCAGTGTAAAGTTGAGATGACGGTTGTGCGGTTACTCTGTTGCAAACCGTTGAGAAAGGTGGGCCTGAGGATATTCCGGGCCGGCCCCTCCAGGTAACGGAACCCGCGGGGCGATGTATTTAAGCAATGGCCCGTCTCTGCGTCAGACGTCTCATTGCTACCTGCGGATGACGGGTGTTCAAGAGGGGAGGGGTCGATGGATCGATGGATCGATGGATGTATGAGCGAAGCCGACAGTGGGGCCAGGGTCGAATGGGGTGTTGGGAGTGAGGAGGGCGAGGTGTGGGTGAGAGGTGGCAAGGTAAGGTAAGGTAAGGGGGGGCAAATGGGGGAAGGTGAAGAGGCCAAGGACGGGGCAGGGAACGGCTGAAGAGGGTGGGTGGAGGTAGGCATGGGGATGGGTGAAGGTGGGGCAAGTGGGGAAACGGTGGTGGGTGGATGGGGAAGAGGATGAAGGAAAGGGAGAAGTGGCGGGGGGGTAAAGAGGGGATCGGGAGTAGAGGAGGGAAGGAGAAAGAGGAGTGTTGTACAGGGAAAGGAGACTTAGAGGGGGGGGGGGGCTGTGAGGGACAGGTGGGAAAGAATGGGAGCGGGAAACATGGGGAGGTGGGAAAGAGATGTGAGGTGTGTAGTGTAGGAAGAAGGTTAAGGAGGTCCATCTAGGTACCACCAATATAGGCAGAAAGAAGAAAGAGGTTCTGCTGTGAGTATTATTTGGAGCTAGGGGTGAAGTTTAAAAAGCAGAACCAAAAATGTGATAACCTCTGGATTACTACCTGAGCCACAACCAATGAGGAATTTGGCACTGGGTCAACAAGATTACAGATTGGTGTGGGAGAAATGGGTTGGAATTCATGTGATATGGCATGAGTACTGGGGAAAGATGGAGCTGTTTTGGGGCTCTACCTGAACCATGCTGAGACCAATGTTCTGGTGAATAACATAATTGGACCTGTGGATAAAAGACTGTAAACTAAACAGTTGGTGGGGGGGGGGGG